AATTTTTTTTTTGGACCCCCAAAAAAAGAAAGGGCCGGAAAACAAAAAAAAAAAAGGGGGGTCAAGGGCCCCCCCCCCGGGGGGGGATTTTTTGGTTTAAAAAAGGGGGGGGGGCCCCCTTTCCCCCCCCCCCCCCCCCCTTAAAAATTTCCGCACCAAAAGGGCCCCTTTTTAAGTAAAAACTTCGGGTTTCCCCCCCCCCCTTTCCAAAACCCAAAAAAAATTTTGGGTATGGTTTGGGGGGTTTAAAACCTCCCCCCCTGGAAATAGGGGGTGGCCGGGCCCCCCCCCCCCCCCCCCCCCCACCCTACCCCACCACCACCACTAGCAATAGACATCTCTCCCGCAACGAACCGGAGTCTAAAACTCGAACGAGAACACTTCGGTGTCGAAGAGCTTCCAGTCGACCTCGCGCGCGCTGGCGAGCACGCCGTCTACCATCGAGGTGGGGCCGCTCGTGATGACCTTGACCTTCTCGGCGCCCGACTTCTGGGCGAGCTCGGCCTCCTGGGCCAGCAGCTGGGCGGTGGGCACTCGGCCGCGCTTGACTTCGTACGCGACGCACCCGTCGGCGGATGATGCCTCGAGGTCCATCTTGAACTCCTCCGTTGTCCGTGCTGACTCTCCCACCTTTTTTGTGTATGTGGTGGAAGGGGGAGGGGGTTGTTGGGCGGGAGACGGAACAGAATGGGGGGAGGGGGCGGACAAAAGTCAAGACGGGGTGGTTTGATTGATCTGATGTATTGGATGGAAGAAAGAACAAAAACGGAAGGAGGTAACAAGGGTAACATATCCCACAATGAAAAAAAAAATGCGTGTATATTGGGTGGGAGACAGAACGAAAACGGAAGGAGGGAACAAGGGTTGCATATCCCACAATATAACAAAAAAATTGGGTGTATATTGGGTGGGAGACAGAACAAAACACAAAAGGAGGAGGGACAAGAGTTATTTATATATATATCCCTGATTCGCACGATCATTGCCGTGAACGACATGCTGCGATACGGCCTCCCTTCAATCGTCAGTCTATCTATGTGTGCATCGAGTGAGGATGGATAATAACATAATAACCGCTCGGGAATCTGTCCCGCAAAGGTCGAAAAGTGTGAGTTCTGTTTCGCAGCCGGGCGCCGATGCCATGACCATCTTTCGGTTCGTCGGTGTCCCTGACCCGTCACACGGATGGATGCGGGATGACTGTCTTTCGCCTACAAGACCATAGCGTGCGTTCGCGTGTGTGGTCTTAATCTTCGGGGGAAAGGGGGAGCCGGGGGGGGGGGGGGCAGTGTTCATCCACACCTGTGCGTCGGAGTCCCTGCCGCGCTTGAACAAGTCGCGGATCCAGCCGTAGATGATGACGGTGCTGACCATGCAGATGATCTGGAGCAGCAGGATGATTCCGCCCTCGTGGTACATGTCGTCGATGCCGCGTCGGTCCACTTCCCACGTGCCCAGGAGCCACGCACCGGCGCCGACGAGGCCTGCATTTCACACAACAAAGAGATCGTCACAAATAAAAATAATAATCGGGATCGGAGAGGCTTGTGTGTGCTTGTCTGCGTTCACATAACGAATGTATATAAGTAGATCCTAAAAACAAATAAAATGAACGCTAGACCACTCGGGATCGGGAAGGCTGTGTGTGTGCTCCGGGATGGGCTTATGCCATGCAGGTTGGAGGCCTAATACCGCGTTCGTAGCATGCTGAGGGTTTCGGGCTGCCCAAGTTTTGTGTATTCCCAGCTCTTCTTGTCAACCCTGTGACACGAAGGCTCTCTCTCGGAGCTGTGGTTTTACCTATATAACTCTTTTCGCATGTTTGTTTTCTTCTTACCCGCGAGAATGACTTTGATGCTGTAGTCGAGGCTGGTGGCGATGGAGTTCTTGCTGATGACGTGCTTCTCCAGGGTGCTTCTGTTGTAGGCCGTGGAGTTGAGAGGCCAAGTCACGCTAAGGGGAACGTCGTCGCTGCCACCCTGAATACACCGTCAACGGTGCCATTGAGCAGGGGGGGGGGGGGGGGGGGGGAAAC